TTGTTTTACACTATTATTATTATTATTATTATTATTATTATTATTACTATTGTGTGTGTGTGTGTGTGTGTGTGTGTGTGTACCATGGTCTGCATGTGGAGATCATACGACAACCTTTGGAAGCTGATTGGATTGTCTCCTTTTCCCCTGAGATTTTAGGAGGTGATCTTCTTGTTCACTTACAGCAAGGCTATATTCTAATTATTTGTCTTACATGTGATGAGCTAAATTGATTATCCTTGTCATTGGTCAGGACAGAGTGCTCACTAACTAACCTTTGGCCCCTTTAAGCGTAAGCCAAGCAACACGATCCCCTGAGTAAAGCATTATATGATATGATTGTGCTACCCTTTCATCTAAATTCCTCACAGCTGGTTTTTTTCTAGTGTAACCGTATCAAAGGGACGATTCCTTTTCTGTCCATCGTAAAGCACAAAGATAACACCTCAATTAAGGAGACAGGTTAATAAGCAAGAAACATAGCAAATAGATTTGAACCAAGTTTGACATGTTGTAGGAGCCAAGAGGAAGACCATTTAAAGACCCAGGGAGACCAATCTATCTTTAGGATTGCATTTGCTGAAGTATAATATAGGCAGCAATGGGCAGTAAAAATGTGCTGTACAAACAGAAATAGGTTGAATGGGAGCCATAGGATGGCCTGGCTACAGACTCTTCCTGGCCTCTCCGTGCAGCATTAGCTCCTCACTCCTTTAAGATCAGACCCTCCTGGAATGTCTCATCAGGTCATATCATTTCTTCTTAGCCAGCTGCTACACAGAATAGAAGGGGAAGTCTGAAATAATATTCCTGGGGTTTAAAACTCTTTGAGAGGAGAAGGGTTCTAGTTCTGTGGCCTGCCTTGGGCTTGGGGTTGTAGGAGAACAGAAAAAAGAACAGAAGAAGATGAAAGACAAACATTGCTATAGTCAGCTCACCGCTCCTCTCCTACTCCCCCATCCCCTCCTACCCCCAGTTATAAGAGTGATAACAATGTTCCTGAACCTGGGAGAATAGACACATGGATCGATCATCCAGCCCACTCTGAGCAAACCCTGTGACACTGTACATGCCTTTCCTCTGCCTGAACCCTTTCCCTCTTTAAACCCAAATAAAGCTCATGTCTAAACATCAAAGACAGATTGTTTATATCTATCTTTCTCTACCTTTCTCCACTTCCCATCTTGTTAGTTCCCATCATGGCCACGCTTTTGCCCAAAAACTTCAGTAAGAAAACCAGCATCTCTTGCTTTGATCCTATACATATTTGGCAGTTTTATATCTGGCAGCTAAAACTCCATCCTAGAAACACCCTGCTATGACCATCTTCTGAACACTTGTCTTCATTTGAACAAATCCATCACTCCACTTCTCCCTGTCTCCAGTACACCCCAGTCACTCAGCCCACCCCATGCTACCTATCTCTGCTTTTTCTGCCACGTCCATCAGAAAAGCTGCTCTAGATAGCTTTCATGACACTTTACACACTAGTGTCTCTTCTCCTGGTTTCCATGACTGGCATTCTGTCTGGTGGTAACTGGATGACAGTAGCTACCACAACATCCTGAGTTATGAGTACTGAATGTCTTGGATGATGAAAGTCTCTGATGGAGGTGAAGTTGTTAATGTAAAGTTCTTTATGTTTCCGACCCAGGCCTGTTGACAACGTCAGTTCCTAACAAAAAAAGCAGCACCTGGAGCTGCTCCTCTATCTGCCAAAATATTCTGCTGTCATCAAAAATGACAGCTTTTCCTTTCCTTTTCCAGATTTTCCTCATGTATCCTGAAGTCGTGTTATTTGTATGTGTTGTGTACAGAATTGTACATTATGTGTACATGGTCTTGTGCACTGTGTATTCAGATGCTGATTTCCATTTCCCTGAGATCTAGTTACAGTCCCGGCACAGGTATTGTCATGAATACTGAAGGCTCTCCTGTATCAGTGTGGTGTAAAGAATGCTCCCCAATTATCTCTGATCGGTTAATAAAAAGAAGATCTCTGTGAGTTCAAGGCTACCCTGGTCTACAGAGCAAGTTCCAGGACAGCAAGGGTTACCCAGGGAAACCCTGTCTCAGAAAACCAAAAAATAAAATTAAGTGCATTCTTGTCAATTTGATCAAGACTCTAGAAAATAACAACTTAACTTTCTTTCTTTAGAAGATGAGGGTCTATGGGATCCAGAATAGTATAGCAGGCTCGGCGTTTTAGTGATGATCTCCCTTTGGTAATGAAGTCGATTTACAGGCAACTTTCACACCTTTTATTACCTTCATTAGCAAAAGATGTGACTGAGACTCTTAAGCAGTGGTACTTATTCTAGATTATTTAGATGGCCTCCAAATGGCGTCATGAATATTATGAGACAGGTTGAGAGAGATTCTATTGAAGTTCACAATGTGGAGAAAGAAATGTTAAAGGAGCCAGAATTGAGAGAAGATTTTTAATTTAGCCTTGTTTCATAAATTTCTATTTTCCAGGATTGTCAGATACTCAACTCTATAAGCATTGTAGAGTGTCGGTATTTTTCTGAGTCCTTTCTTCCATTATACTAACATCGACTTCTTGATTTTTATCCAGTGGTAGGAATTCTGCTCTTTATGAAAGAAACTACATTTCATGAGCACCCTTCTAATGCTAATGTCAATGACATCACCTCAAAGTGCTTCCTACTCCATGCAGAACGAATTCATGCCTTCCATAAAAAGTCTTCAAGAGGTTTGGTATTCGATTGCTCACTTCTTCACGTGTTCCCTATTCTATGAAGGCATTTTAGTTGCAAAATAGACTGATTAAAATGCAAATATCAGAGCTACAACCAATAACTTATTAGTACATTCTCCCAGGTAAGGATTATAGGGAATGTATTGCCAATCATATTTCAAAACCTTTTAGAGCAGAAAATGAAGTTGATGTATATATACTGATTTAGGTTAAATACTAGTCACTTATTGGTTGGTTTTATCTTAAATCGTATGTCTCACATCTTTAGAACTATTTTCTCTCACTCCACCCATCCTTTTAAAGGAGTAGCATTTTACTAGTCAAGTTTTATAAGGGGTTTTAACCCAGATAGGAGCACATAGAATTATTCTACCTCCTCAGTCATTTTTGCTCTACATTGTACAAAAGCGTAACAAGAAGGGCCTGGAGAGATCATGAAATATGTATCATATGTACATATATATGTCAACTAATAGGAAAGTATTTATAGGATTTAGATATAAATCCCTTTAAAATTTACCAGTGTACAGTGTGTTGAATCAATTAAATTGCTCATTTTTTTTTAAAACAAAATACCTCATTTCCTCTCTTCTGCTAATTCCTCCAACTCCACCTCCAGCTTCGATCAAGATGGCCAGTATACAGCCTATGCTGGCCTCACTCTAATTCTGAAGGCTGATCTGATCCCAGATGATCCTCAGAAGGCCATGATGGGGCATGGTGTTCAGTGCCTTTCTCCTTGGCATCCTACCTTTGAGAGACACAACATCCAGCTCCTCAAAGATCTCTAAAAGCCACTTGGTACTGACTTTGAAATGATATAAAAGTTTGTCTCTGGAAATGTGATCTTTCCTTTACTTGGACCTTAAGGTAAGAACACATTTTCCTTAGAAAACACCCTCTCATTTTTCAAAATACACTCTCAGTATTGTCTACCATTTTCTTTTCAATTTCCTTTAATAGAAGTAAAGGATAGGTGCTCAGTATAGTTGCTATTTTCTTTAACTGTTAGTAGAACAGTTCTTAATGTCTGGTCCCTGCTAGGGAACATCAACATTTTTCTGGGGATTTGCAGAAAGACAAGTTCTCAGCCACATATCAGAACAACTGTGTTAGAAATCCTGAGGGTTGTAGGACTCAGTGTAAGTGTTCACTGCATATTTTGATTTTAATATAAGTTTGGTTGAAATGGAATTGAAACAATGATAGCTTAACATATAATATACATGATCAGTTATGGCTTTTAGTGTAGAACTATTTTCTTCAGCACTGTTGAATTATGAAAGTAATATGAAAGAACTGTTAATTCCAGTCGTGCTGACTCAAGGTAATTTACAGATAGAAAAAAATGTTCTTCTTGCCTAAGAAAAGTATAGTGGAGCTGTGGTTAAGAGCACTCACTGTTCTTTGAGAGGACCTAGGTTCAATTCTCAGTACCCCGATGGACTCTCACAACTGTCTCTAATTCCAGTTTCAGGGAATCCAACACGTTCACACAGAGACACATGCAATACACATGTCATAAAAATTTAAAAGAAGTACAGTGGACAGGAGTGGGCATCATTGTAAGACTGCTTTTTAAAATGAATTGAACTATGGATTCTTTAGAGGTTAATAAGAAGGAATGATATGTATATAGGAGAAATCACTTAAAATCTCAAAAAGAAGTTTGACTCAAGTTTAAAGTATTGCTTTATTATTATTACTTATTTTTTGGTAGATAAAACAGGATATGACCTCAATTTAATAGAGGTAGAGATTATAAAAAGAAAATCATGGAAAATTTTAAATAAACTATGGGGGTCAATTCTCTGTGAATTTTAAATTGTGCTGGTGTAGAGATAATGCTAAGTTTTCACCCAGGGCTCAAGAAGATGAGTCTAGAGCTAGCATTACAGATTTCTGCTAGAGCTTCTGCACGTGTTTAAAGGGTGGGATGCATGTTTACGTACATGACAGTGTTTCTGCATGTATATTAAATGCATTGTTTTTGTAAAAAGGATTCTCAGATTTTTACTTTAGACCCTGAGATATCTAGGAATCCTCACCAACACACAAATGGTATACAGCTTGAAAATATGAAGCTTATAGGATAAGCAGTTTGGGAGAATCATAAGGAGTCACTTCTCAGGGCTTGTGAATGGATATATCCTGGCAGGCGAACACTGTATATTCCTCTATCAGCAAGACTTTATTTGATGGAAATCATCACAATAGTTCAGTAAAGAAGAAAACAATATAATTTACCAGGCTGTAAAAACTTATACTTATAGGGCTATTATTCAGGCATCCCTATTTTCTACTCAAGATGACCCTTGTCATCAACCTCTTGACTGCTCCCTTTACCTCTTTGTTCCTGAGTGTGTAGATGAGGGGGTTCAGCATGGGTGTGATGATCCCATAAAAGAGGGACACCATTTTCCCCCGGTCCTTGGAAGTAGGGGATGGTGGCTGCAGATACATGTAGATGGCAGTGCCATAAAAAAGTACCACCACAATGAGGTGGGAACCACATGTCCCAAACGCCTTTCGCCGACCTTCAGCTGATCTGATTCTCAACACTGCTTGCACAATGAAGGCATATGATATGAGGATGAGAGTCACAGGTATTAGAAGAAACAGCACACTGATGAAGAACAGCTCAGCTTCATTAGCTGTTGTATCCACACAGGACAACTTGAGCAGGGCAGGGACTTCACAGAAGAAATGGTCCACTTCCTTGTGACCACACAGTGGCATCTGAAGGGTCCATGTGGACTGTAATACTGAATTGCTGAAGCCACTGATCCAGCATGTAGCTGCCAAGTGGAGGCAGCGCCTTTGGTGCATGATGACTGAGTAGTGGAGAGGCCGACAGATGGCTACAAACCTGTCAAAGGACATGACACCCAGGAGAAAGCATTCTGTGGAACCCAAGGCCAGGAAAATGAAAAGCTGGGCCACACAGCCGCCATAGCTGATCACCTTCCGGGTGCTGCAGATGTTGACGAGCATCTGTGGGACTGTGCTTGTGGTGTAGCACAGGTCCAGCAGGGACAGGTTAGTGAGGAAAAAGTACATGGGTGTGTGGAGTTTGGAATCCAGGCGGGACACAAGAATTATCATCATATTTCCAAAGATGGTCAGAATATAGGACACTAGAAACACCACAAAGAATGGTAGCTCCAGCCATGGCCGGTCTGAAAACCCTAAGAGAATGAACTCCCATGAGATGCTCTCATTGGCCACACTCATGTTAAATGGTACAGCCTCTGGGTGACTGATGCACAAAGGGTTATAAGTTGGTGGGCATGCTGATTGGATGTGTCAATCAGCTATAAGGTGATGACACTGGAGAGTTCTGTGCATCCACAAAGTGATCCTGTTAGGGTGAAAATGTATTGACAGAAGTTTAAGTGTCTGTCAAACCTTTCAGAGGTGATTTGTATTCCAACAGTTTTTACCAAAGTGATTTCAAGGTTACAGCACTTTATCAGTTTCTACTGTCACAGAACTCCTTTGATGTGTGGTATTTTATGCATGGACTGTTCTCTGGTCTTTTTATCAAGTATCTGCTATCAGGGAGATACAGTTATTGCTCCTGTAATTTGAATCCAGTGTAATTTCTCTCCAGAATCAGTGTGAGTCTCTGTTCACTGGCATTCGTGAAAATTATTTAAATCTCATTTCTCCACTATTCCTGCCCTTCCCTCAAATAAATCCAGATATTGTAGCATCTATGGTAAGCTTTCAGACACCATGTTGAGAGTCTTGTCCTATTACTCTCATGTTGGAGAATCTACACAGCGCTGTTTGCTCATGTGCCATCTGAGGCTGGAAGTCTGGCTCATGCACTCCCAGCCCTCTTCTGTAACTAGTTACATTGCTCTGAGAATTCTTGTCCTCTGAACTTCAGGTTCCACTTTTGTAAGATACTCATTTATAAAGATACTACTTTAGTTATGGTTTCTATTCCTGCAAAATTACACCATGACCAAAAAGCAAATCGAGGAGGAAAGGGTTTGTTTATTCAGCTGACACTTCCATATTGCTGTTTATCACTCATGGAAATCAGGACAGGTGCTCAAGTGTACCCTGCTGAGCCTGACTCTGGGTAGGAACAGCTGAGTATGAATCAGGCAGCCTCAGTGAGGGAAGGACTCAGGAGCTCAGGAGACTCACTTGGAGCTTGTACAGTGCTCACTTTCCTAGAGGTCAGCAGCACAAGTGGTTGTGTGACAATCCCAGCTTCTATCCCCGGGTTTAAGGAAGCCCATCCTGAGTATGGCTGTTATCTTAAGTGTGGCTGTTATCTTTTGTGTAAACTGTTTGGCCATGCCTGGTTCCTGGAAACACAGAGGTTGGGCAGTTGTGACAGAGTGATAGATGCTTTGCTTTGAGAAATTATTCATAGCACTACATTTTCTGCGGGTACTTATGTGACAGGAGTGGCAGTTAAGAATGTATGCATTCCAAACAATTCTCAATGATAATCTAAGCTACCCTGTGAGATAATCACTATCTGAAATTTTGCTTTTCTGCTTTAGTCCTGTTCATCAAAATGTTAGCAAAGGGTGCTGGGGTTTTCTACTCATTTCAGAACATTTACGCCCTAGAAAACATTCCCTTACTCTCTCCTTTAAGAAATCTGAGATAATGGTCAGATATAGAGAGATTACGTTTTAAGTTTTTCTCTTACACAAGTTTCCAGATTTGTTTGAAATTTCCTGGTAACTGAAGGCCAACTTTCAACTCTCTTTCTCCTGTCTCCACCTCCGGAGTGCAGTGAATAGATGTGCATGGCCACTCCCCAGGTAGCAGTGCTAAGACAGAGCCCTGGGCTTCAGGCAAACTAGGCAAGCATTCACCAAAAGGTAGCTAGACTCCAAGTCGTGTGTGTGTGTGTGTGTGTGTGTGTTTGTGTGTGTGTGTGTTAAGTGAAAATATTTCACTAAAGAGTTGTATAGTAAATTCCACCCATTTAAAGAATATACAACATATGATATCTAAATAGTAATATGCAAATTAAAAGTTACCTTGCAGGATACAGAAGAGACCCATATCCCTGGGAATCTGGTAGAGAGAGGAAAGCAAAGCAGTCTTGGCCTACTAATCTGCCAGTTGTCTGTTCTCCTTTAAAATAAGCACCTCTTTCTTTTAAAATATTCTTAATTGCTTGACTCCCCAATTTATTTGGGTTTCTATTTTCAAACTAGTGTAACTTTAGTTAAAACTTTAATCACCATCAGATTCAAATCTTCATAAGAAATACAATTTCTTTAACTCATTACTTTCTTAAAATTCAGTATAAATCTATGAGACCATTTAAAGCAGGATGGCAGAAACACATCTTCATTCTCTTAGCCAAAACTACACATTGCCAAAAATGTGGGAACCAGGTAGAAAGAACAGGATAAACATAAACATTAGTAAAGATAAATTTCACATACTTCAAAATTTCATTTTTTGTTGTTTTTGTTTGTTTTCAGATAGGGTCTTATATAGTCGAGGCTAGCCTCACACTTGGTATATAGCTGAGGCTGGCATTCTCCTTCTGCCTTACTCTCCCATGTGCTGGGTATAGGTCTTTATTAACATTACACAGAACTTACATGTCATTTTATTACAAGAGTAATCACACCCTCCCCAAGTCCATACAATTAGAGTGACTCTATGTGTCAGTCCACCTAGGACTTGCTGTCCTGGTACAGAAACTGATGGAGTTACTTCCACTTTCAAACTGGGTCCTCACTGGATAAGCTATAAAGTCTCCCTAACCAATGCTAGGGCACAAAGTGAGTTCTGAATTATTGCCAAGGAGACATCTCACCAATAAAGACATTACTTGTGTTTTCTACTCCAGTGTGACCGATGATCCTCCTTGGGCCCTTGATTCTGATGTTTATCCTGAGAAACATTACTAAAAGATGACCTTTATAAGAAGCCTCATTATAGATAAAGGAGAGAAAATTAGTTGATACACTTCTAATCAATGGACCCCTCACTCTGAGAGTCATAATTTATAACCCCTTTGTAAACAATGAAACATATTAGTGATTCTGTGATATGTAAAATCCTCTCACGCTCCACAGTCATGGCACAAAGAAGCGTATTTGTCCTTTTAGCAGGAAATTTTGGAACAGAATAATAGCAGAGAAACACTCGAGAAGCAGGAAAGACAACGGGAGAAGTAAATTATTACACTGTGCTTCATTTAGCTTTCTGAATGTGTCCAACACTTCCAACAAGTGAGAGCCTCAGATGTTTATGATCTCCTAAAAGCACATCTCTAGGTAGTATTGCTATCATTCTGTGTATTAAGTAAACTGAACTCAGACTTCTATCATTAGCCTTAGTAAAAAGTGTTTGTTAATAAAAAGAACACAGACCCAAAGGTTAGGGTTTCCTTAGCTGCGTTAATAAACAACGTGGACCGTGCTCTCATCCTCGCCTCTTAGTGCCTAATGTACTTGCTCATAGCTGCAGCTGGTGTCTTTGAGGCCACAAAATAAGTTTCTCTCCTTTGAAGCAAACCTACATTGCAGCACCTTAGGGTGATATTATTCTCCTTTAGAATACCACACGTTCTGTCAGCCAGCAAATAAAAGGTTTGAATCATGTGAGAGCACAGCAGCGAGCTGACAACTGACATTTGTCAGTAAGTGTTTCAGAAAGCTGCTGACGAGTCTTTACAAGCTTTATCTGTGATCACTCGAGAGTGTTTTAACCTAAATGCCAGGATACTTCTTTGATGAATAATATCATTACTTTACTTATCTATTTTTATTCATAGCCTGTAATGGATGGGCCTTGTGTTTCTCATTTCCTTGAATTTTCTTGTCCTGTATCTGAGTTTGAATACTCAAAATGATGAGAGAGATCTTAAGAAAGCTCTTTATGCTTTATGGTGCAAAGGACATTGGAACAAGAAAGGCACCACAGTCAGCTCCACGCTTGCTAACTGCACAAGTGAACTAAACACTTTGAATATCAGTTTTATTTTCTGTGGTGGGATAGAGATGATATTTTCCTCTCCCTGTAACAACTATTTATTTGTGTTTCCTCAAATTACCTCACACCTCAATGAGAGGATCTTTATCATACCATACTGTTTTGCTAGATTGTAAGCGTACATAATAGAAGTCATTTTCCTACACAGCTAGTAAAAAAAAAATAATAAAAATTTAGTTTAGAAAAATGAGCCCTGAAGGCAGAGGCTGGGTTTATATGCTCCTCTAGCTTAGGTTGATTTCCTGAGAGCCCAGATCTGCATGAGCAGCAGACAGAAGGAAAAGCTGAACTGCTGTGAAGCCGCCAGTCCCACCGAGATCCCAGACCTCTTCTAGTGCTCAAATTCTAATACTAGTTTTAGCAGTTTGTATAAATGTATTTACTTACTGGCAATTTAAGCATTTGAAATGATGACTTTGCGTTGATGTCCAAGTATCTTTGAATACAAGTAGAGCTGACTTAGAGTCTGCAGATGCACCAGCGCCTTCCCACACCAGTTAGCCATACACTCATTCTGGAACACTGACTTAACGTTCTTTAGTTTCACTTCAAGGTAGGCGTTCTGAGATCCCCAAACATAGCTCACTGGACAGTGAGGAGTAAGTCTCGCTCAGGACTGAAATGTATGGGGTCGATGCCATGCCATTTATAATTTAGGGAAGCTACTGTTATTTTGAAAGATTAAAAGAGTATTATTTTCTCTGTCAGCCTTGCAAAACTGTATAAAAGATACTTTCTCTGTGAAGACTGGTGTTTCTTTTGGTCTGTGGAGGGAATCTTAATCTTTCACAGCCAAAGTTTTCTGTTTATAGTGGCAAAGCCAGGACTTGACCCAATGGGACATAGGCAGGGGAGCTGCGAGATGATGGCTTTTTCCTCACGGATTAGCTCAAGAAGAAACTTCCCCCTAGAGATGGATGGGGTTCTCAACTCTTTCTAACATTAAAGGAATGGCATGGAATGTCTTAGCAAATGGACACTAAATTTTGTGCTCAGTAGGGATTTGTTTTCTTTTTGTAATCTATCCAGAGAGCTTTCCAAAACCACTTGATTGCTGTTGTTTGTTTGCTAGATTCTTTTTGAGACAGGGTCTGGTGTAGCCCAGGATGACCTCAGCCTCCTAAATGCTGGAATTATCAGGGTGTTCCACCACCTTTGTTCACTTCTCAATTCAATGAGAAGAAAAATATTATTTTATGTATAAATATTCTAAGATAGCATCTAAGGTCATGCTGTTACCCTTTGATTTAACCAAGATAAAGCCTTTAGCTATGAT